TGGCCTCAGATCAGATGTGAATGCATGAGGGCACAGCATCTTCTTTGGGTTTAGTCTTCTTCTGGTGAGAGTGATCTGTGTTCAGTCGTCTCTGAGCTTCTGTGTTGATTTCTGTCTCAGCTGTGGGAGTGTCTCACTTTTATCTTCTAACAGGAGGAGCTCCAGAGTATTCCTGATATCACTGGTACTGACCACAAGATTCCACCAGATGGTGCTGTTTTACAGAAGTCACAAAGGCATCCAATGTTTTTGTTTACAAACATAATTTGTGATCATTGGGCTTATCTTAAGTCTTTTTTTAACTGAGAAGAAATATTATATTCACGTGCAATGTAAAGGTGACCTGTACTTTAAAAAAATATTTAGCTTCCTGAATAACCTACAAAGAAATAAAACACTCAGGAATAAAGTGGAACAGATGTTTTAATACATTTACGAATAAATTATACAGAAATAATTTCTTGCATTTAAAAAATAGATTGAACACACATTTGATGAAAATTACAAGGATCAGAAGGAAAAAGTTTATTTTAATTTTACTTTATTTTTACCACAATTCGTTGCAATGGGACTTTGGAATTATTGACTAGAATTACAAACTAGTAAAAAAAACACATCTCAAAAAGTTATGTTCATTGCATTTTTGTTGTTTTCATTAGAAACTATAACATTAAATTTATATTCAAGACTATAAAAATTCCAGAAAACACCACCCTCTAGTGGAAACTTGTGGTCAGTACCAGTAATTTCTGGAATTGTCTGCGGCTCCTCCTCTTAAACTAAAAGTGAGACACTCCCACTGCTGAGACAGAAATCAACACAGAAGCTCAGAGACRACTGAACACAGATCACTCTCACCAGAAGAAGACCTAAACCCAAAGAAGATGCTGATGTCTCATGCACTCAGATCTGCTCTGAGGCCAATCGTGAACTTTTATTGGCCTGCTCGCAGTCTGTGGCCTGAAGTCAGACCTCTCTTCAACCAGCAGGACTTCTTGCAGAGAACCTTCCAGGAGCTGCGCAGCAGTCTGGAGCTGATGGACAAACTCCAACAGCAGATGCTGGAGGACTCAGGAGCTTTCAGGAGAGGTGCGGCCCTGCAGCCAGTCTCCTACCAGCTGAACAAAGAGAGAAATCACTTCGGTCTGACCCTGGACACTCAAGGCTTTTCTCCAGAGGAGCTGTCAGTCAAGCAGGTGGGCAACAAGCTGAGAG